ATAGGAACTCATCGTATCATTGTTAAACTAAAACTAACTATCTTAGACTACTACTAGGAAATAACCTAATAAAGTAGCAGTAGTACACACACACTCAAGGAAATGAGTTTAGGATAAACAAGATAACTAAAACAAACACACGGCGTTTTATAATAATAAATCCCGTGGACTCACCAACATTATGTTGGCCTTTCAAAAACCACATGTATTCTTAGGAGAATAAACCCTGATAAAGAGGGAAGTAACCCCAATGATGCACCTTGAAGTCTATGTGCTTTACTGTTGTACTTTGCATTTGTGACCTATCTGTACCTCGAACAACTTTGTAATATATTTTATTTAATGAATAAAAATTGACGTTGTTTAATATATCAGTGTATTATTCAATGTATGTTTGTGACCTGAAATCCAACATTCTAACATCCCATAGCCCGACGTTTCCGCCGCTAGCCGGGGGTGTGACATAGCCTGTGGCATTTGTTTGAAAAACCATAGGGTAGCCCATGGCACTTGTGTGTAAGACCTTAGGGTAGTCAAGACACTGCAAGGGAAGACCACGGGGGCAGCTAGACCTGGCAATGGGACGGGTTTGGAGCGAATCGACCTCGATCCAAACCCATTTAACAAACTTAAAATCCGATCCAAAACCGCTTCGTAACCCATAGGGTTTTGAATAATTAAACACATACCCGTATCCACCGAATCAAAAAATATCCAAACCCGTCCCGTAACCCGTTAATTTTTTTAATCACATTTTACTTAATTCTTAAAAAAAACATTTCTTAAATAAAAAATGTCTACTATAGCTTACTGCTTAAAAGAATATTTTCTTAAATAAAACAAATGTTGATTTAGGAAATGCATTACGTACTTGAGGACTTTCGATTAGAATTAAAAATCACTATTGTAGCAACGTCCGATTGATTTTTAACTGTCAATTATAGTTATACAAAATAGCAATTGCAAACTTTCTTCCGATTGATAAATAAATTTATTGATTTATTAATGAAATTGACGATTGCTTGATAAAATATAAATGAAATGGCATCATGATTCTTGGTAGAAGACTGAAAGTCTATAAGTCAACTCCTCAATTCCTAAGTAAAAACAGTTTGGTCTTGGCTTTTGCCCCATGGACTTGTGATTGGAATTAAAATTAAACGTTAGGCAGTATAAAAGATAAACATATATATCTAAAATTTATACGGGGCGGGTTATAAACGGAGCGGATCAGTGATGACCTATACCCGACCCTTTTAATAAAAGGGTTAACGGGTACGGGTCGTTAAATGGTAAACGGATCAAAAACGATCCTCCAAACCCATATAATTCTTAAGGGTTTGGATTGGATAATGGTCAAAACTCGCTTCATTTATAGTTCTAGGGGCAGCCCATAGCAATGGTATGAAAGACCATGGGAGTAGCCCATGACACTTGTATGCAAGACCATGGGGGTAGCCCATGACAATGTTTGTACGATATGCCGATATTTAGGGAAAACTCACTAAGCTTTTTGTTTACGTTTTTGTGGTTTAACATTTTCAGGTACTTCCAGTTTGAAAGGGAAGGGTCTGACATGATCGCACAACATCCCCCTCATGATTCCACATTGATGATGTTTTAGTCTGATGATTTTGATACACTGTATTGTGATTGATTTTGAGACACTTGATGTATTGATTTGAAGATTTTAAAATGAAAAATTTTATTACTATTTTTGGGATGTTACACCCTCCCCTAAATCATTAGGATATTGAGTTCAATTATGACATTATGATAAGATGTTTCCATTTATGCCCTAATGAAACCCATTGTGGTGTAAATGAGCGAAAAATCAGTCCATAACCAAACACGCTAACCAAAATGGCAAAAGCAAAAGAAATGAATGCAACTAATCCTTAGGATTTTGTAGAATGTCAAAAGAAATAAAATCAAACCCTTATGAAATCCACTAACCATGGCCAAAGTAGAATTCTTAAACATGGAAAGGAGATAGTAGTTATAGTAGTAACATCGATAACGACTATGTCAGCAATAAATGCAAATGCGATGGCCACATCAGGAATATGAGCAACAAGAGTAGAATTATGGATACAAGCAACAACATGAGCATGATAAAGAAGATGAACAAGAGCAATAGCAATAATGGTAGCAACAATAGCAATTATAATAGAAATTTGAAAACGAATAAACAATACTTGCATCATTAAATTTTTTCGCATACCACCAAATGTTTACCATTGAAACCAGTTTCATATTAGTTTACCTATAATCAAAATTGAAAAGTTAAGTTAAAAAATATAACAAAGAAACATATCTCCAAGTACATATTTTAAATAAATATTATCTTCAAACAACACGAACCATTATAAATATAATTTATCAAAGATATACATTATATTTGAAAAAAAAATAACTAAAAATAACTAAAAAAACTAAAACCAAAGAAAAAGTTTGAAAGTGTAAATCTTTTATTTTAGAGCACAAATCTTGTAATCTAAAAACTACTTCAAGTATCTTTTGGAGATTTTTATCTTTATGTTTTATATAATTTTAGAGAAATTAAATATACTCCTACCTTTTTTTCCTAATTTTATTTCTATCTATTTAAGATTATGACAAGTGTACAAATTTAACATCCCATTTAAATTTAAATTAAATTAAATGACACTTGTCACCATCTAAAATAGGTAGGAAGATATTAGGCATAAAAGTAGGAGGATATTTAATTTCTCATAATTTTATACTTTAGACCAGAGGGAGTAGAGTGCAGTTTCAGCTGATGTGACATCTGAAATCGCAGAGAACACCCCCCTCCCCCTGTACGGTTTGGGTCCCCCCCCCCCCTATGCGGTTTGGGTGTGTGGCCAAAATTAGGAGCACTCCCCTCTCTCTCTCTCTCTCTCTCTCTCTCTCTCTATCTATATATATATATATATATATATATATATATATATATATATCCTCTCTTCGATCTCTTTCTTCTTTCCATGGAATACCACTTCTTGGATGTGGTAGGGAAGTGTGACACTACTCCCTTCAGCCTTATAAACTCACAACATTTTTTCTTAAAAACTTAATAAAAATAAAAATAATAACTTTTAAGTTTCCAATCATCGGGTCAAACATTCACTAATACTCTTATTCATATGCACTTGAATCATACTTAAATTCCCCAATGCATGAGTTGTAATTTTATTGTTATTTGTTGTTTATGTGATTCTAAATAATATTTTTTTTAAAGAGACAAATCTAAAATATTTTTAAACTATTTGTAAATATCATCTATCTCTAACGACTCTAAATACCACTTATGTCTATAACGACTTTAAACCTTAATAGAATAGACAACAGCAGATACCGTATAAATAATAACTTTAACAACAAATTTACTAGTACGATGATTTTATATTTATTTTTAATTTAATGTCAGAGTTGGAATTAAGGCGGGGACCAGCCAAGTGGCATAATATCCGGAGGGACAACTCAGCCAACCAAGCATCCACTTTCCAATTTTCAAATTCATCTCTTTTACTCCGATCCAACCGCTCTCCTTTAATGTTTATATTCGAACCGCGTCCCCCATCCTTTACTTCTTCTAGTTAAAGTTGCACTTGCCCTACCTCATCTTTTACATTGTTCTCTGTAAACCCCCTTTCTCATTTTCAATTATTTGTTTTTGGTCTTAACTTTCTTCAGCACTTCACCTTTTTCTTTTTTTATCTTAACAACTTATCACTTTTAATTTCATCGAGATGATATTTTTCTACTTAAAATCCTTATAAAAAAAAGAAATAAAGAAAATAGTTAGTAAGAAGTACAATATATCTAAAGTTTTGATCAGCTTATTTTCTGAAATGGGTTTGTTTTATTTTGAATTTATTTTGCATATTGAATGTTAAGATTACATACAAACAAAAATAGATATCTTGAGACGTTTTTCATATGTATTTTTGAAGTTTAGTTTTACTTTTTCTCTACTATTTAATGAAACTACATGTCGTTTATCTATCTTTAATTGTGATTTTGTTTGATAAACTTATACAATACCTTATAAACCTTACCGATAGAGGTGTTCAAAGCCAGATATCTAAAATTTTGAATTTAAAATCCAATATTAAGTAAGATATCTAAAGTTTCTATATGAATTCGAAAGACCATAATTTTAATAAAAAAATCAATAATATAATATCTTTTAGGTCTTAAATTGAATTTATCTATTTTAATGTCACCTAAAATAGAAGAATATATATGCATAACTACAAAATAAAATTTACATGCAAAGAAAAAGAATTACAAAAAATAATATAAATAAAAAATACATGTATATATATTTCGGATTTTCCAATAATTAAGATATTTAAATTTTTGGAAATTCACTGTCCCAATCTCTATAAAAGATCTGAGATAATTAAATTGTGATCAGAAATTAGAATATTCAAATCGAATTCTCATATTCAGAATTTTTTAAAAACTCAGCCACGTACTATAATATGAAAGTAAATATCTTTGTTTTTTATTTTAAGATATAGTGATTGTAACTATAGAAACGATTACACTAATCACTATAGTTAGATACGTATTCGAATAGTATAATTGTTTCTATTAGTCATGATTTTATCAATCAATGTCTATGTTTAAAGTCCGATATTACTATCGAAATATTTAAAGCAAGGTCTTATGAAAATTCTTGATATATGTTTATCGGTTCATTATATCAACATCTATACCAAAAATAATAATTTCTGTTTTGAAATAAATAAAATGTTATATTAGAATCCATGAGTCTTCTAGAATGAAAAAATGGTCCTTGGAGATTTTTAGTAAACCGATCGCAAATAATCATCAACGGAAGAAACATATGTCCAGTTCTAGTTTTAATCATTTAATCTAGACTTTCAAAACTCAAAAGACTGAATACGATAGAAACAAAAACAGAAGGGACCAAAGTGTAATATTCTCCTATTTTAAAACCGTTGCACCTCATTCCTTTGCATCCTAAATCCGCTTCTCTATCTCTCTCTGTATCTCTCCTTCACTCTCACACACATACACCTAAACCACACACACTTCACACACCTCACGAAGCGAAGAAGATTTGATTCAAAGGGAAAAGAAGATAGAAGATGCCGTCGTCACCATCAACTAATTCATGGATTCTCTCTCTGAAAGTTGTATTGATCTCAGCTGGTCTTGTGTCTGTAGCTGTGATGATGAAGTTAGCGATTCCGTTGATGTTAAACTTCGCCGTGTCCGACCTCCCTGCGATTTGGTCGGTTCTTGTATCCTTGCTTAAGCCTCCGTATCTGTATGTTGTCATTAACGGAATCATCATCACCATCGCCGCCTCCACACGCTTCCAACACAACAATCACCAGGATAATGAGAATCACTCTCAGCAGCAGGTTAATCCACCGTCAGATCTGGCATCCGATTTGCCTCCGGTATCGACTATGCGGCGTTTGAATATGGCGGAGCATCCGCCGATGGCTTACGATATTGAACCTAACGTGATGGAGCCTCCGGTGGTGTATGAGAGTGCGCCTGCGGTTGTTGACGTGAAGAATATGGTAGCGCTGAGTGGGCCAGATGTAGTTGGAGGAGATGAAGATGAGTTTGTTATATCGAGGACCACGTGGAATCCTCCTCAAAGTAAAATTAAGGGGGAGTCTCCACCTCCGAAGAAGGTGCAACCGGAGTTCGATTTTCCGGTGAGAGAAAGACAGCTTTTATCTTCCAGATTCGCTCAACATCGGAAACCGACACTGGAAGGTATGATATTAGAGTCAATTATTTGCATAAAATATGATCATCCGAAACACATTTTGCATTTTTTATTCAAAATTGGCTGTATCTAAGAGCTAGATATTATTTTGATTGTCTCCGCCATAGGTGCGAGAGTACTGAGGGTGCTGAAACCGAAGAAGCACGAGACGATGGAAACCACATGGAAGATGATAACAGAAAAGCGTCACATGCCTTTGACGAGGCACCTCCGGAAGTCGGACACGTTCGTGAACCACCACAACGATGTTCAGTCCGACGAGTCCGAAGAGGTAGCGACGACGACTAAGGTGGTGAAGAAATCTGAGACATTCAAGGACCGGACGAGCTACGAAAACCAAAACGATTATCCGAAAACAGCGTCGTCGGCGGCGGTGGCAGGAGGGAAGTTGAAGAAAGAGCCGTCACTGAGTAACGACGAGTTGAACCGGCGAGTTGAAGCGTTCATTAAGAAGTTTAATGATGACATGAGATTGCAGCGACAAGAGTCCCTGAATCAATACATGGAGATGGTGAACCAGGGGGATGGGGCCCATTAACGAAAGAGGTTTTTTGTTTTTTAAAAATAGCTTGGATATTTGATATATCGAAAAAAGAAAAAGGAAAAGGTATTTTTCGCCCATTATATATGCTGGGTTCTTAGGGGGTATAGTTATGAAAATGATTGATAGTACAAAGTGGGATTATTTTATTTTATTTATTTTTCTTTCTATTTTCAGTATAGGTTTCTTTTTATTTTTATTTTGGGTTCTCAAATGGATGGGTTGTACTTATATAAGTTATACAGGTCATAAAGACATGAAACTGTTATTATTATTATTATGATATAAAATGGTTCTTTTAGTGTGTTTGTTAGCTGTTTCTAATGTTTATTTTTTAAAACAATTTGTTATTGTGCAACAACAGGATGCAATTTATCTTCCCTTCCCCACCCACCACACAAACACACCATGCTTTGTTGCATAAGGGCATTCATAATCAGTGTTTAGTGAGAAAGTTAAATGATATGTGAAACCTACTTGAAACTCTACCATTATGTCACGTTAGAAAGGATATTGAAATCAAACATTACAATTAACATCAATTTTGAAAAATCGGTTTTTTAACCATGAAAACGAATTTAAAACTTTATAAAAACTAGTTTTATGGTTTACGATTAACCGACCATATGGAATCATCTACCAAGATAGCCATTCGGCAATAGAACCCGACAAAGGGAAAACGACACCACACCACCTAGCCACAAGCCACCAAACATCCCACACCACATCACATAAGAAGAATCTATATTAGGTAGTCTCGACCCCTCTATTGCAAGTCGTGCACACCAAGGACTCTAAAACAACACATTTACGAGTTAAATCTAGTAGGGATCATGTCTGATTCAACTGCCAAATAAAATTTTTTACTTTTTTTGACACTAACTTGCACCACCTGGTGCTACATTCTCCATTGACAAGAGAGACATTCGTCAATATTGATTCCTTTTCAAATTAATTGTAAAACTACCAAGTGGATCTAACGCCTACGAGTAAGAGTCGGGTACATAGGAAATCTCAACACCTTGAAGAACCGCCATCAATCCCTGAAGTTGTGCCTCTTCACACCCGCCTCTAATCTACCTTCTCCAATCCGACTTCCACGAACCCTTTTGGAACCAATCTAAAACCAAGCAATCAAGTCGATATAGTTGATACAATCGATCAAAACGACAAGAGAAAAGATTATATCCCACCAACACCTCCGTCCAGAAACAAAAAGAATTACCCTTACCTAAACGCTTTTCCAAAGTAGTCATAAGAACCACGCTACTCTCATGAAGTTTTCAAATAGAAACAACAATTTTTTCCAGGGTTATAAAAGTCGCTAGACGGTACCACGTCGGTCGACTAGCGACTAGGGATTAGTCGACCTAATCAAGGATTAGTCGGGGACTAGTCGGAGTTTCTAAAATGTAAATTTGTTAAATTTTAGAAAATAGATATGACTAATATCATAACAAAGTTCGTAACTACCAATAATATCATAACAAAATATGTAAATATGATTAATAAAACACTAATCAATCATCAAATAGTTTCTATTAAGATAGAACTTCTTCAAAGTATTGAAAATTTATCGGCTTCTAAGGATTCACTCATTGTCTAGATATGTATTAATCGCTAGGCGCCTTCTAGTCGGATGCGTAGCGCCTAGGGGCTAAACAGAGATTAATCAAGGCCTAGTCGGGATTTTTACAACACTGATATTTTCCTATACACCATTTGTACAACATGTCTGATTTAAATTATCAAAACATACCATATCGTCATCAATTGCTTTGATAAGCAGAACCTAAGATGCATTTGTTTCACATACAAAACTCCAACACCACTTTTAGATTAGTACACAGTTAAAAGCCGACAAGCTTATGATCCTAATATCACCTTTCTCGAAACTAGCAAGAGCAAGATCTCACCTGATCCAAGTGATTTGTTTCCCTTCACTATCACCACCCCAGAAAACTGAATTATAAGATTCTCCAAGCTCTTCAACACCCCTTCCGGCACCTTGAAAAACGACATATAACAAATACCAATACTACCAAAAACCGACTTAATTAAAGTAAGTCTCCCCCCACTGATAAATATCTAGCTTTCTAATTTGATCATCGAGTCTTAAATTTGTCAATCATCGTATCCCAAAATCCATAAACCGTACAAAAACATTGTTTTCAAGAACATAGTCAAATCAAAGTATCCCAAAATCATTAATCAACAAAAAATCCAAGGATGATGAGCACAATCAAGCCTGTGCCTTACCCCGATCATCTAATGTACCTGAAACCATAAAATCAAATTGTAAGCCAAAGCTTAGTGAGTTCCCCCAAAATACCACCATACAAACATATAACATCCTGCATATTGGGCCCACAACCATCGGGCTGGATTACCCCTGAGCCTAGAGCATGAGTCTGGCTTGCCTTTCTGGCCCACAACTCATGTTTGGATTGCTCCCGAGCCCACATCACCAATTTGGCTTACCTATCTAGGTCAACATCTTATGTTTGGCTTGCTCCCAGGTTTGTTGGCCTCCGCACATAGCAGTATTGCCTCAACCCAACTGTACTATGTCGACATATACAACAGATAAACATATAACCAGCAAACAGATAATCATATAGATCGAACATATCACTACAGCATAACAACATCCTATATACCAGGATACATAACCGAATGGGCCGACATTGGTGCCTTCGACCCAAAAAATTACAGTGAGGAAACTCATTTGAACAACTCAAGGAGTATTAGACCCCTAGTTTAATTACTGTAAGGCTTGTAATATTTCATTATACTTATGTTTTTGTATTGACGATGACATCCCAATGTTTTAATATAAACAAAATACATTTATTCGGAAATGCTTTGATAATATCATTATCATGTTTTATGGGAACAAATTCTGCAATATTATTCTTCAAAAACGATACTCTAATTTTAAAATAAGCATAAACAAATCGGTCTTTTCTGGCCGTGAAATTGTGGATGTCACAGTTGGTATCAGGGCATTAGCTTAAGCGAACTAGGAGTAAGGGATTTATTTCTAGACTTAAACTTAGAATGCTAAGCGATGATTGTGAGATGAGTGTCTACTATATTTAGGATGTATGCCTGAATAGACACGAGCACTAGCTTGTTTAGGGGAGATGTCTAAATTGCTTTTATGTGCTAAATGATTTATGCTATAATATGCCTTATATGCTTTATGATGCTATCGGATCTATGGTCTATTGCCGATCGGATCTGGAAATTTCATGTGTTCAGATTTCTAAACGTTTAATTACGGTATTAGAACTGGCATATAACTTTTCGTAGTGATAAGGAGATTTATACGTCTATCGTAAATAAAGATTTTCATATCTTAATACTCGTCAATGCACATCGAACGTCTGATTTGGTGTATAGATCAGCATGATGAGAACTCGAAGCGGATTAGGAAACGGTAATCAGCAGCCTGAGCCACGAGTGATTGAGCGTGCACCAAAGGTAGCAGCTGCACCCGAGCCAATCACGATAGCAGGAGTACAAGCAATGATACAAATGATGTTGGATCGTCGGATGGAAGATACAAGGCGTCTACTTCAACAGAATAGGGATGAACCTACTGTGTCTATTGTGCAGCCTAAACTGAACATCGAACAGTCAGAAGAAGGGAATTATAGTAGAATCGTTAGTCAAGCTGAACTGCTAGTGGTTAGAAGAAATAACCAGGATGAAGGAATTGAAAGGAACGGATGCAAGTATAAAGACTTTACGACTTGCAAACTATCAAATTTTACTGGGAAAGATGATCCAATCGGAGTTATGGACTAGATCTCTGAGATGGAGCTAGCTTTCATAACATGTGGTTGCAAGGGCAAGCTACAAACCACATATGTTGTGCGTCAGTTTAGGGGTGGGGCCGTTCGTTGGTGGAACACTTTGGGAAATATCATAAGCCCCAATGAGCCACTACAAATGAAATGGACAGAATTCTTGGTACACTTTAAACGCAAGTTCTGCTCAGCCCAAAATATGTTGGAGCTGGAGAACCAATTTCTGACATTGAAAAAGGGCAACATGTCAATTGATGAGTATACCAATGCCTTCACGGACAAGATGGAGTTTTCTATGTGTATCGTCCCTAACGAGCTAACAAAAATCGATAAGTATACAAAGGGACTACCATGGGAGTACCCTGTGCCAGTACGCCAGGCCCTAATCTTGAGGCGACCATCTGGACTGCTAAGTTTGTTGAATAAATGATCAAAGGCAGAACCGCCAATAAGGTTGAAGTTGGCGATAAGAGGAAGTTTGAGGGGTCTTCAAGATCCGAAAACAAAAATAGGTTCCCAAAGTCTGCCCCAAAAACAAGAGGTATGGGGATAACACTGGAGAAAAGTGGTGTGACAAGTGCAGAAGGAAACACATTGGGAAAAGTGCTAAAGAGGTGACCTGCTTCAAATGCGGGAAGACTTGTCACTATGACAACGAATGCACAACCAAGAGAGAAATATACTTTAAGTGTGGTGAAGAATGACACTTCAAGCAAGACTGCCCAAAGAGGGAAGGAGCAACAAAGCCAAACGTACAGCCAAAGCTAAAGGCAAGAGCATTCCAGATGATCCTTGATGAAGACCATGACGATGCAAGGGATTAGGAGTAAGGATCTATAAAGTAGCGACATAAATAGTATCATGTGGTGTAGCCTAATATAAGAGGCATAATATAGGGTGAACTTGAACATCTATGTAATCGTTTCAAGAAATAATATAAACCTTGGTTATGTTATCTGATGTGTTAAATGACTATGTGAAATTATTGTATGGTGACTTAGAGAACTGCGAGGCAATACTTGGGATGGGTATGAGTAGGTGTGAAAGGTAGTAGATGCCTATACTACCGGAAGCACAGGACTCACACTTGGATCAGGGAAAGTCACAAGGTTTCCATCGTTTCGGTATGACTAAGAAGATGATTGTTATTCTGACCCTAGTGGTCATATCAAATCGACTCCGACTAAGATAAGTATGTTACGTGGTTCAGAGAACCAAGATCAATATAGCATCTTACTTAAGCCAGAAGATTGAAGTGAAAGATAATCGAACCAATCAATAGAAGTATTAAGATCGTTGTTATCATAAGAAGATTGTAGCTAGAAGTGCTACATGCTAGAATGTGATTATATCACATTAGAACATGAAGGAAGGTATATTCCAATCTAGAATCTGACTCAAAAATATCTGAGTCTAAGAGTTGCATCATAC